GCATATTTTACTTTTTTATAATATTTCAAATTAATATTTCTTAGCTTATATAAGTAACTTTAACCCTAAAAAGTATTCTATTATATTAAGAATAACATTTTTTATGTAATTATAATTTAATTTTAGCTAATAATTAAAAGACTATTATTTTAAAAAAATGTGCGCTAGACGCTTATGAACCACGTTAGATATTAAGCTTTATAAAGATTATTATATAAGCTAACTATAATAAAGTCTTTAAGATTAGAGATAAAAGATATTTATTTTTCTTTATAAGTTTATTTAAACTTCTATTATTAATACAGAATCTAAGGTTTTTATTCTTTTTCTTAATAAATAAAATAGGTAATAAGAAAAAGGAAAATAATAGGCAAATGAATCCCTTATATAAGTTCTTTATCAGGTACTCTCTTATAGCTTTAAGCTCTTAAGTTGACATCTTATATAAATACGACGCCTTTATCTCTAGTTCCTTATTAAAGCGCAGCTTATAGTTAAGTAGATAGTACAAAGGCAAAATATTTATAGTTACTCTTAAGAAGACAGCAGCTTAATTACAAAGATATAAAGAAAGATAACTAAGGATAGACTTAAGATTATTAGAACAGGGTCTAAGGTTATTAAAAGCATCTTATTTATTATTATTAGTTATCTAAACTTAATTAACTTGATATAAGGCAGAGCGGCCTTATTTCTATAGCTTATAATTAATATTATTTAATATAATTATCTCTAATATTACGCTATTCTCTTTGTTATTAATATAAAACACTATAGCGTTTATAAGATTTACAGAGATAATTCTATTATTAGTATTAATCTTATCTAAGTTAGAGTCAGGATTAAGGCTCTTATTAGCTTTATTAGAAAGAGGCAACCTAAGCTTAGTTTTATAATATTAGTAATACTAATATTGTTTTTAAACACGTTTTTAAAACTAAGTTCTGGCCTTACTAATATTATTAAAGCTAACCTTAAGGCTATAATATTAAATATTCTTCTTAAATAGCTTATCTTTATAAGTATTATATTATCTTTATACTTTGTAGTCCTTAGGCTAGTATATCTTATTTCTCTTATAATCCAGCAGAATATTATGCTTAGCTAGCTATTTATATAACCTAAGATAATATTATAAGAGCTAAGATTAGCAGCTAAGAACAGGATATTAATAAGAGTATAGTTATAGATCTGTATAATAATAAGGAATAGATGATTAATTAGCTTATTAGACTAGCTATTAAATTTAACTAGTAGAATAGCCTTTTAAAGAAATAAAAGAGATATTAAGTTATTAAAAAATATCTTAAGTAATCTTTTTATTAATTAGAATATATATATTAGCTTAACTATTTATTAGAGTATAAAGATAAAAGACTTTACTATTTACGCTCTTAAAGCTAAATACTATAATAAGAGATAGCCCTTTAATAAGTTAGTTAAGCCTAATAAGTATGCTTTTATAATAGTCTAAAGCTGTAATTTTACTTAAGACATCTTGTTTTCTGACTTTACAGATTTCTTATTAAGATTAAAAGACTTATCTTTAAAGTTAGACTCTGCCTCTTTAATCTTACTAATATAGAGGTTAGGGCAATCAGGTTTTAAGTAGCTAGGCTTACTATAATAAAAGCAGATTATTATATTATCTTTCTTAAACCCTATACGCTTTAATTTCAAATTAAAGGCCTGACTAAGAAAGGGAAAGCATTATAATAGACTTATTATTAAGACTAAAGAGAACAGATATACTATCTTATCTAACGTATTTCTTATTAGCATAAAAGAAGTACCTTTCTTTAGATGTCTTACACTAGATCTTAGGCTATTTAGCTAAGCATAATTATAAATTTACTCCTTTTCTCTTTCTTTTTTACAGATTATTATAAACTAGTTCTCTTACTTTATAACCTAGTAAGCTATTATGCTAGCGTTATAAAAGGTGTGATCTCTTATCTTGCAAAGGAGTTTAGCAGATATCTTCTTTTATAAGTCTTTATACTAATCCTAAGTAGACTTACTAATTTGTAATACTAAAGGTGTAAAGTTAGCCTAGAAAGTATTAAACGGCTAATCGCTTTAATATAAAGCGGCGTAGGCTGTCTTAGCACATTAATAATATAGGGGGTTGCTTTCTTTAAAGGCCTGCTTTATAATAATAAAGATCTCTTTAAGTGTTTAAATAAGATATAATAATATTAGTTTAAGGCGTTTCTAAATATAATCTTAAGCAAGACTCTTTATAAGGCTAGTAATAAATCTTATAATCTAAGAGTTATCCTAAGGAAAAGAGCTAGTAAGAGAGCGAGTCTTATAGATTTAGTCTTTAATCAAAATATCCTTAAGGCCGCTTAAACTACTAAAGATCTTAGAGATGCCTTTACAAAAATCTTTTATAATAAGTAGTAAAAGAAAAGTTAACTTAAAAGACTTTATATTAGCTTTTTTATTTCCTAAATTAGAGGATTTAGTCTCTTAAGAATAATAGTTTAATATTTATAAAGAAATAAGCCTTAAAAAAAGTAATAAGAAAAAGATTAATAATAGATTAAAAGTATACTTTATCTTTAAAAGAGGATTAGTAAGAGTAGCCTTATATTATATACTAGCTAATATCTTTATATATAAATTAGAATATATAAAGGACATTAAGGAGGCAGGCGCTTAATATATAAACGCTTAATAATAAGTTAGCTACTTTATTAGATTAGTAATTTGCTTTTATACAGTTATATTTTGTTCTTATAAAGCTATGTTTTATTTCTCTAACTCTTAGCTAGTAATAATAAGTTATGTAACATACTCTAAAATTTAATAGACTAAACTAGTATTAGTATTTGCTATTTTTATTAGCTCTAAGGCAACCCTCTTTGTTATCTAATTAATTAGAGTTTATTCTTATACTCTTTATTACTATAGCTTAGCTAAAATAGTATTAATATTAGATTAAAGATTAGTTAATATAATTACTCTTAGCTAAGCTACTTTAGCAAAAGGATCAGAAAGGTCAAAAGATAAAATAAGATTAAGGTAGTTGTTCTTAGTAAAAGGAATAAGATTATTAGTCTTAGTCAGGCTAAATAAGTTAAAGACAGCTATATTAAATGCAGTCTAAGAGGCTATCTTTATATTCTTATATATTAGTAACTAGTTACTAGTTAGTATTACTATTATTAATATGTGGCCCGGCTCTAATAGAGTGTTATATAAGTTAAAAAAGGAAAGATAATAAGACCTTAAAGAATATTATAATTATTAAGATAAAGAAAAGGTTAGTAGCTCTTTTGAATAAGACAGCTATCTAACAGCTCTAGAGTATGTCAACCCTATGTTTATACTTCACCTCAACTACAGAGTCATTATATATATATATATAGAGTGCCCTGTTCTTTTACTTACTAGGTATAAGGATCCCGCTTATTTGAATTCAGAGGTCTGAATCTCCTTGACTTCTTTAACCTTGTCAGGGGCGTAGAGGGTGTCAGAAAAGCTTGCTTTAAACTCGAGTCTAACCTCGAATGTTAACACCGACCCAGAATGAGCTGGCGACGGGTCCAGAGATACAGATCTCTTATAGTCAATAGTTTAACGACTGTTTCTAGTCAAAGGGCAGTCTTAGAATAATGTTATATGTTACGTTAGAAGCAGGTGACGAGTACATGAGATCTTTAGCCCATATTAAGTGCTATCCTAAGACTGCAAAGCCGACAAGGATAGCACTAGGGTCGCTCTTATATAACGAGCATACCTCTTACTAACGCGTAGTGCTAATTAATACCCGGCCGCCTGAGCGCTAGTAGCCAACAAGCATAGCAGCTATAACACTAATAAGAATAGTTTTTTTCTGGATTTAGTAATAAGCTAGATTTCTTTTATCTAGTTGTTGTCACGTGTCACGTTGGAAGCAGGCGACGAGTGCGCGAGATCTTCAGCCCATGTTGAGTGCTATCCTAAGACTGCAGAGCCGACGAGGATGGCACTGGGGTCGCTCCTATATAGCGAGCATGCCCCTTACTAACGCGTAGTGCCAATCAATACCCGGCGGCCCTAGCGCTAGCGGCCGACAAGCATGGCAGTCGTGACAGTAATATACTAATAAGAAGTATAACGCTAATATAGCCTCTAATATCTATAGCAGTTATATCTTTTTATACTTACTAGATTTAATTAAATTCTTAAGATCTCTTTTTAAATACGTATTTATTTGTATGCTTTGTAATATCTATAAACAGCTTCTTTAGAATAAACTAATAGAATAGATTAATTAGCTTAAGTTTATAAGGATAAAGATTTAGCTGCCCTGATGTAAATAGGATCAGAATGTTCAGTTTTTCTAGGTAAGGTTGACTAGGGCCAATTTGTTCAGTAGGAATCTTCAGCTTTTCTGACTTGTTTTAAGTAGATTCAACTTGTATCTACTATTCTTCCTTCTCTTTCTTATGCTGTGTATTAATCTTAGACTATTGAGAGCTGTTTTGGCGGAGTAATTAATGTCGCTGTTTTGATTGAGATGCGTTGTTTCCAGCAGATGAGGAATCTTCTCTATTAGATACCGGTTTTTGCTCGTTTGTAGGTGTGATAGGCCGCAGGGAAAGTACTTGAGATAGCTGACTTTGCGTCTGATTTTCTCGCGCTTTTCGGCTCTGAATTCGAGCTCTTTTGGGTCGAGGACAGTCCTTAGCTAATGGAGCAGCTTCAATAGCATCAATTGGCCCTGAGATCTCCTCTTGGTGGTGCTTTTGAGTCATTTAGTATCTATCAATTGGTACATTTCTATCCTACTGCCGCTTTGGGGGTAAGAGATTTAAGGTTAAGGTTACGGAAGCTAACCTAATCTGGCTAATGTAGTGACTGGTGCTGACCAATCAAAAAAATGTTGCATTTTACGACAGAGTAGTGGATACCACGTACACCCCGTCTGCTGTCATTGTCCCCACCCGCCTAAACACTGCCATATACTGATATTCATATTCAGGTAATAAGCTTGTAAATCGAACAAGATGAAGCTCTTAAATATAGTGTCTTGGATAGGATGTCGTTACACCCTGAGTCTGATATCGTCGGTAGCAGGAACAGCGACAGTGCCAGCGAACAACACAACATGTTCAAGCGACGCAATCCCCTTCCCTTCGTTATTTGGCGCTGAAATCCTCTCCCTCTCCGCCTCCCCCTTCACCAATTTCTCAACCTCCCTCCCCCAAGCAGACCAACACTTCGCGCTAAACATCACAGGTCTCGATTTCTGCAACGTGTCAGTCCAATACACCCACCCGGGTTGGAACGACCGCATTAACGTCCAACTCTGGCTCCCCCTCAGCAGCAGCCAGTGGAATGAACGCTTCATGGGGACCGGCGGCGCGGCATATGCCAGCGAGCTCGGCGTGCTGTCGCTGCCTTATGCCGTTTCACTGGGCTATTCCGCTGTTGCCACTGACGGGGGCCACCCATCGGTGTATTTCGATCCCTCGTCCTGGGCGCTCTCCAGCCCGGGCAACGTCAATTGGTTTCTGCTGCAGGATTTCGCCGCCGTCGCACTGGACGATGCTGCCACCATCGGCTCGCCGCCGAGACATTCGTATTGGAATGGATGCTCGGAGGGTGGTCGGCAGGGGCTCATGATGGCGCAGCGATATCCGACGCAGTATGATGGCATCATTGCTGCGGCACCAGCGATCAATTGGGAGAAAGTTCTTGTTGCCGGGTATTGGCCTCAGCTGGTCATGAATCAATTAGGTCGGTACTTGCTATCTTATGCATTGCTGTAAACAACAGAAGCTTAACTTCACTCAGGCGTATACCCATCAGAATGTGAGTTTGAAGCCATCACCGCGGCTGCAATAGCGGCTTGCGATGGATTAGACGGAGTCGAGGACGGCATTATCGCCGCCCCCGGCCTCTGCCAGTTCGATCCCTACACGTTGGTCGGGCAACCCTTCAACCACGCCGAAGCGGCTGCCGTCGCACTCGCCGCCTGGACAGGCTCACGCTCCGTCTCCGGCGAATTCCAATGGTATGGCCTAAACCAAGACGCGCCGCTGAACGTCCTAGCCCCAACCTCCTGCATCCTACCCGGTCGCCCATGCCCCTCCGACTTCGCCCCATTCTACCAGCTCTTCAACACCTGGCTCACCTACTTCGTGGCCAAAAACCCCGTCTTCAACGTCACCAACGTGACCTACCGCGACTACGACACCCTGTTCCGCCAATCCACCAACCAATACGCCTCCATCCTCGGCACCGCCGACGCAGACCTTACCGACTTCCGCGCATCTGGCGCCAAGTTGATCGCCTGGCACGCCCTGGCTGATCCGCTGCTCCCCGCCAACGGCACGATCGAGTACTATGAACGCGTGCTGGAGCGCGATCCGCGCGCGACGGACTATTTCCGCTTTTTCGCCGCGCCGGGCGGAGGGCATTGTGGGGGTGGGGTGGGTTATTACCCCCACAGCGGGTTGCAGGCGTTGGTCGATTGGGTGGAGAGCGGGATCGCGCCGGAGACGTTGCTGGGAAGGACACTGCCAGACGATGAGGGCAAGATCAGGGAGGCGCCGCTGTGTCCCTATCCGCTGGTGGCGGCGTATCAAGGTGGGGATGTTGATGTGGCGGGGTCATTTTGGTGTCAAGAATCCTTTTTAAGGTGAACGCCTGGAGGTAAAACGTCTGTAACTGGTGCAAGAACGCAAAATTCGTCGTTCTAATCTCATGCGCCTGACACGACTTTGGAGTAGTGCACTATTGGAGCCGTAACGCATAGTATGAGCTACATAGGGCTTGTATGACTCTCGAAGTATTAGTCTTTAATTCCGGGTGAGTTTACGATTTATTGATAGAAATTTATTAAAATCAACCATCGAACAAACAACTATTGTTAAAAAAGATAAATCAAATCTAATTCAATAGTTCTTTTACTCATTATATACTTGATAAAAATAATATTATTCTCGTAACTACTCGTAATTAGGGAAATCAATTACCTTTTCTACTTCTGACTTCACAGTGCCCAGGCGCGGTCAAGATTTTAGTAACAGGATACCACACACAACATCTACACCCGAATCTTGACCTCTCCTAATTCTATTTCCGCTTTGAAACCTGAGCACACGTGACTGTAACCTGAGCGATGAATAAGTAGCCCTGAGCTGTGGCTGAGCAAGGCTGTTCCGAGCCTGAGCTGAATTCTACACTCATAGGCCGGATTCTGGGCCCCTCACAACTCGGAGAGCCCAGATTCGGTTTGTTGGGTTCCAATTCCCGGGCCTTATTACTCGCGTATACTTGCCCTTCAAGTGGTCTGAGCCAAAGTTGCCGCCTAACGTGATGAGCCTAGGTGTGCAATAGACCCTAATAAGTAACAAATTTATCTAACGTAGCTGGCTATCAAATGTATCAGGCCATTAAATGCATTATTTTTGTCTTGGCATTAGCTTGGCATAACGTTCTTTAACTATAAGTAGTTACTGTTCGTTTAGGTAGAGTGTAAGGAGAGCTATCCCCTCCGTCCCTGCTGTACCTATTAGCGTGCTTGGCGTAAAAGTAAGGTTTTTGAGCCGCATTGGATCGTCACAGCTTTCCGCAGCGCTTTTTCTCAAAAAAAATTTCAGCCACCTACTATGCAACGACCACAACAAAATACGCAAATTCCTCTGAGATATAGAGATAACTCACCTCCGTCAGCATATAGAAATAACAACCAGCCAAAACGGCCAAAAAATGGCTCCAAAATCGTTGATCAAAATCAGGTCGATCAGGCCTTGGCAGTGATCGAAGCCGCGCCAAAATCTGCAGAGTGTGCAGATGAATCCTCAGTGCCTATATCAATAGAACTCCCCTATTTTAAGGCCAGTTACGTTCAAAATTGAGCAGGAGCTCCTCAGTATACTGATCTATCTGAATTAGGCTTTTTTAAGCTCTTTTTTAGCGATTCTGTAGTGGAAACCCTCTCCGAAGAAACTAATATTTATGCCGCATCTAAACTTCAAAATCCTTCCTTCCTCAAGAAATGCTACTAGGTACCTACTACGCTGGCAGAAATACGTGTATTCATAAGCATATATATCTATTTTGGCTTGTACCCATTGGCAGTACAAACAGATTACTAGAAACTTCACAATCTAGAGCAATTTATAGGTCGAGATTAATTCAAACTCGTTCATCACTTTTTTAGTACAGATAGTGCTCCTACCTCTCTAAATGCGCCCTGGTTCTATCGAATTTAACGCTTAGCTAACCTTATTCGAACTGCCTGTCGAAATTCCTACTCTCCCTCCTCTTATATCACTATTAATGAAGCTATAGTCGCTTTTTAAGGCCGTTTAAAGCATATCATCAAGCTTAAAAACAAGCCTATTAATACAGGGTACAAGCTATGATTTATTAACAATCATGGATATATTTAGAGCTGGCCATTTTACTCTAGAATAGATGGAGTTAAAACGCTTTAAAAGGGCATAAAAACGAGCTGGTTGCGCCTGCGCTTCACAGGCACTAAGCACACCTTGTTAGCACTTACATTTGCGCTTGTTTTACGCCTGGCTAAACAACTTCTAAAACAGCTTAAATTCTGCATTTATTTAGATAACCTGTTTCTAAATGTGCTTATTACATAGTGTCTTTTGATGATAAGGATTTACTATATAAGTATAACGCGTGAAAAGACTAAGGGATTTCCTTTATATCTGCAGAGCTATTTTAAGCAAAATAAGCTACTATAAAACTCTACTGTAGCAGAGATTATTAATAATAATACTCTCTGCTTTATTTAGCAGGATAATAAGGCTATTAGCATTATTTCGACTACTTATAGTCTTTATAAGCCTGAGGATAAGATTTAATGTATATAAAAATGCCTAAAAATTATGTCTAAAAATTAATAAATTCTATTGCCTATTTTTGATAGTTAACTATTTAAAAAGCTCTTTATTCTAATAATTATTAATAAATATAAACACTATATAAAGGGCATAGATTAAGCGAATTAATTACGCGTAAATTTTATGTATTATTATAAGCAGAATTATTAAATATAGTAGCCCTTATTTTTCTTCCTTATTAATATTAGTTGCACTAACTCTTATCTATTATAAAAATAAAGTAATAACGCGTAAAATTATAATAGTTATAAGATCTTTATAAACGCTTTATGCGATTAATTACTTTATTTAAATAATTCAAAGGAAGAAGAGAAGAAGAAGGAGAAGAAGAAGGAGAAGGAGAAGAAGAAGAAGAAGGAACAATCCTATTCTTAACCTACAACAGTGTTTTAACGTCACTATAAACGTATACAACTAAAATAGCGCGGCCGGTGCGAATGGGGAAGGGGTTATTCATCAGGTTGTACGGGCAAATAGTCGAATAAACGCAAATTTGGAACAGATGTTACAGAATTAGCCATCAACTGCGTCAATGAGCCTATTTTAGAAGGCTCCCTCTCCTATTATAGATGCAGCAAGTGCCAGATTTGGCTCTGTATCCAAGGAGACTGCTGGCAACAGTATCATCAATCAATTGAAGCGAATAGCTAGATAGAACAGGCTCAATTGGCCGAATTAGGCATTTGTTGACACCCTTTGGACCCCTCATAATGATTGACAGCGCTAATAGGTACAATCTACACCCCTGTTTAGGGACGGAGGGGATAGATGGGCCTAAATAACAAGACGAAGCGTGAGAAAAGAGAACAGAAGTGAGAAAGCAACGCTCTATATACAAGGCCGTAACCCCTATCCTGTCATGGCCAGGGGAAGTTAGCTGTGGGTACCTGTGGTCAGTAAAGGCTAGGATGGCGGCGGGGAGCTGGGTCCAAGGTCGACGGCGCGGTGGCCACCACTGTCGAATGCTCAGGACATTATAACTTCATGTTTCAGGAAACGCAAATCGTACATGGCGTTTTGGACGGGGAACTGGGTACTCGGGGCATCTCGGGGCATGGCTGTAGCGCTTGTAGAACTCTTAGACAATCTCAGGGGCGTGGAGAAGATAGGTTATAGGTTTTTAAATTATTTCGTTAAAACTAATTTATTGAACTAGGAACTAAAATAGCCTTCTTCTGTCGGCTCTTCTTGCTTTTAAAATAGTTTTGACTTCTTATTTTATTTTATTAAATATATTATTACTTATTATAAGTCTTAAGAGAACATCTATATAATATAATCTTAATAAGGCAATATAAAAAATAAGAAATATTCTTAAGAATAAAGACAAGGCTAATTTATAAATTATAAATTCTATAATTTATTTAATCTTAAATAAGTTAATTTATTTATTATTAAGTTTCTTATATAGTTATTATATATAAATGTTTCTAATATTTAGTTATACTTTATCTCCTTTATAATATATTAGGGTAAGGTATATCTTTAATAGTATAAAGTTAAGGCTTTTGCTAGCCTATCTTAATGCTTACTTTAAAACTAAGACATTTAGTATCCTTTTTCTGCTTATTAGTAGCTTTAGAGGCATGATTTTAAGCTTCTAATTTAAAACGCTTAGAAATAAACCTCTTAGATTTAATAGAGGTATTATATATCCCTCTCTTGCCTAATATAACGTTTAACTCTATAATATAAGACGAATCTCTAGTATTGCTCTTTGACAGAGAGTTTTACTTTAATACTTAATCTCTTATATAAGTATTTTTAGAATTTATTATTAAACTATATATCTTTATCTAATACTATTAATTTAGGAAGACTATAATTATAAATAATAAAGTAAAGAAATATCCTAACTAGATATTCTATCTTTATATTATAGTAAAGCGCTAGGTATTTCTTCTTAATTAATTAGTTTATTAGGACCTAAATACTTATAATATTAGGGGATATATTATTAGATTTAGAGAGGTTTATAATAAAGTCTATAGCTAGATATTACTAACGTTTCTTTAGTAACTCTAGTGCTTATAATTAGTCTTAGTATTCTTAGAATAGTTTTATATAATAATATATAACATATTTAGCTAGTTATTCTTTTATTAAGTCTATTATTCTTAACTAATGAAATTATTATTATAAGATCTTATAAGTTTTAATAGGGCCTAGATAACTAGTTATTAACTATTTATAATATTCTTAGATATAATAAAGTTGTAATTCTTTATTTTTAAGGATTTATAAGCATTATTAATAGTATAGTTTATTATTTTCTACTAAATAGTTAACTAATATAATTATAAAAGATCTTTTAATCTTAAATAAAACTTATTAATAGGTTACTTAATAAAGGTCTTTTTAAGCAAGATTTTAATATATAATAATAATATCTTCCTCTAAAGTAATTTAAGGCTATACACTTAATATAAGTAAGACTATAATATTATTTATAATTAGTTTAGGGCCTTATCTTAAATTAGGTAATCTCTTATAATAATAGAGGATTCTTATAAATTTAATTAGATAAATAAGGATATATTTAAATAACTAAAGATCTAGATTCTTTAGTTCTAAGACTACTTATTTAAGAAACTTTTTCTTATTCTTATTAGTATTAATAGCTTTATCTTAGAGTTTACAAAATAATTTATTAATATGGAATTTTTTTTTTCTTTTTTAACTTATTTCAGATTTATTATATAAATCTATATAAGCCTAATAATATAAAGGGCTATAAAGTAAATAATAATTAAGGAGATACATTAGTAACA